GTATGATTAAGAAGACAAAAGACAAAGACTGATAGATGTCATTAGCAGTCATTTCCCGTGTGCTTAAATTGAGAGGTAGATATGAAGTCTCCAGAGAGACTAAAGGGTTGTATAGTAAGTAAATTTTTCCATTGGCATCTGTTTTTACTTTGAGGAAGGAAATTTATTCCTTACAATTCCAATGTTATTTCTTAGTATTAAGTACATGTGTTACATTGCAAATGTAAAGAATGTATTTAAAGAATCCTTAAAATTCAAAATTGTTTTTAATTTTGGGAACAGGAGCCTTTCTTTTTCTGTTTAGAAGCAAATTTGTAACGTTGATACGAAGTGATTGTCAAGTTAACGTGACATCTAAGGCCAGTTCAACTTAAAAGTCAGATCTATCCCCGTTCCCATCTGCATACAATAGACTGGACTGCCATGATGTTTTCATAACCCAGGCGGGGGAATGATACAAAGTAGACACTAAATAATATGTGTGCAGTGAACTAACCCATGACTTTCCTGTTCTCTGCACATAATTCCCATGCACTGAGCCTTGGAATGGCAGTACTCTTAAGATTCATGATGTTTCATAGACATAAAAATTAAATAAAAGCAAAAATCAGAAGTTTAAATTCAAAGCTCATAGAACCTTGAGAGTGTCATTAATCAGCTCTAAGATGGTCAAATAAATCTTTGAAGTGGTATTTAATATTTTGTATGCTTATATATATTTTTGGAGAGGGTGTTCATAGTCCTTCTTGAACTTCAGTCATTTTAAGGTCTTTTGTGACTTGTGTCTTTTACGGAATGTAGTTGATATAATTATATTTATTAAAGAGCAGTTTTACGTTCATAGCAAAATTGAGCAGAAGGTGCAGAAGTTTCCCATATATTCTCATCCCCCCCATATGTATAGTCTCACCCTTTATTGCCTCCCCGTACCAGAGTAGTACATTTGTTACACTTGATGAACCTACATTGACACGTAATTATCATCCAGAGTCCATAGTTTATTTTAGGATTCACTTTTGGTGTTGTCCACCAGTGGGTTTGGATGAATGTACAATGAGATACATCCATCACTGTAATAACACAGAGTATTTTCACTGCCCTAAAAATCCTCTTTGCTCTGTTCTGGAATCATGGCCATCTGAGATTGGCTTATTTCATTTAATAATGTTAGATTTCCTCCATGTTGCTACCCAACGTCAAGATTTACATAAAACTACAGTAATCAAGACAGTGTGGCATTGGTTATTAATATGATTATAGATATCATATTGGTATCTCACGAAGTAGTGTCTGATTATAGTTTTGATTTGCATTTCCCTGTGGCTAATGATGTTGAGTGTATTTTCATGTGCTTATTTGCCATCTTACATCGTCTTTGCCAAAATTTATATTGAGTTATTTGTCTTTTCATTATTAAGTCGTAATAATTCTGTTTATATTTTAGATACAAGTCAGTTATCAGATACATATTTTGCAAAACTTCCCTTCTGAGGGTTGTCTTTTCTTTTTCTTGGTGGCATCCTTTGAAAAAAGGTTTTAATTTTGATGAAGTCCAGTTTATCCATTTTATCTTTTATCACTTTTACTTTTGGTGTTACAGCTAAGAAAGCATTGCCTAATCTAACCATATGAAGATTTACCACTGTTTTGTTCCAGGAGGTTAATACTTTTAGCTTTAAGTCTTTGATTCATTTTGAGTTCATTTTTGTATGCAGTGTGAGGTCAGGGTCAGTTTCATTCATTTGTGTGTGGATATCCAGTTGACCTATCATCATTTGTTGACTATTCTTTCCCCATTGAGTTGTCGTGGTAACTTTGTTGAAAGTAAATTGACCATAAATGCAGACATCTGTTTTTTCAAAAAAAAAAAAAAAAGCTGAAGTCTTTTGAGTTGTCCTTTCCAAGAAAAATAAGACAGTGTTACAGAGAGTAGTTAAATCCTTTGTTTTTCAAAATAAGTTCAGGTCACCTCCCCATAAGGACCAACATTCTGGGAGGATGCCATCTAAAACTGTATCAGTCTCATGAGTCTTCTTAATTACTTTTTCAGTTATAGAAGCATCTTCAAGTAGTGTGCTTTTTGTCATGGATTTTACCTTTATTCGCATTTGGAAACCTGAGATTTTTAATATCCAGCTCTCTTTTACTTTGTTCACAAACATTGTAAACATGTTAGAATTAGTCCTAGTATTATAGAGGTTCGGGTTTTTTTTTTTCCCTTCACTTGTTTTCAAAGTTTAGCTGGAGGCAATGGTTAATCTTTAAAGGAGTCATGCTTATAAAGTTGGGATAGTTCTGAGTGGCTGATGGTCTGCTGATTCCAGCTGTAAAATGTTTTTTGGAGAGCAGAAAAACAATTTGCTTTCATTCCAGTACACTGTAATTCTTGAGGTCCACTGGCTTTCTAAAAACATTGACTCAAAAAGTGAAATGTGGGGGGGAGGGTGATAGCTCAGTGGTGGAGCACATGCTTAGTGTGCATGAGGTTCTGGGTTCAATCCCCAGTACCTCCATTAACCAAAAAAAAAAAAAAATGAAATGAAGAATTGTAAACTATATTTTCCCTTCATATCCTTTAGTATATGAAGATGAATATACTTTTTTTGTAATAAATAATATACTTGTTTATTGAGGTAAAATGATTATCGGAATTGACTGACAATTAGATTATGCTAACTTTAAAGTTTGGAAGATTAGCTACCTCTAATGTAATGCCACAGTTCACCAGTATTTATTTTTGTTTTTCATTTGGTTCTTTTTTCCATGACATTTGATATAAAATGGGAAATTTTTTTAGAAAGCATATTTATGCTCATTTCTCCAGTTCTGAAACTATGTATGGAATATGTGTATACACATATATAAAAGTACATTTTGGTATGAATTAGATGGGAGTGTAATAATGAAATCTAGTATGTAAATCTTGTGTGATATATGTTAGAGTGTGTTTCTTTGTACTACTTGAGTGGGCCTTTTCTCTGTGTATATGTCCATAATATGCATTCAGTGGTTATAGTAACATCAGTTACCCGGAAGTCGATTTTCCCCAAACCCAAAACATTCCAAACACAGCCCTTTAATCTCTGAAATATACGAACAATGCAGTACAGTACACAAATTGTTTTTTTAAACAATGAGCAAAAAATTAGAAAGCTTATACCTTTTATTTTATATGACATGGTCTTTCTCTTAGGATCATTGTCTTTTTTATAAGTTCTTTACCTTTAAAAACGAAAACTTAAAATTGATGACAGTTGAAGGAGCTGGAATAAAAACTAGTGTGTAATGGAAGGAAAAGCAATGGGTGCTTCTTTAGTGCTTGTGAACACAGCAGCATTATCATTTTAGAATGACCACCATTCCTACTCAAGAGGCTTTCTGAATTCAGAGAAGCACGTGATGTACATTTAAGAAAAATTTCTTAATGAAAGATCTGGCTCTTTGGCAAGCACGCTATTTGAAAAAATATTTGCAGAATGTTCTTCTGTAAATGACTTTTTTTTTTTTTGCCATTGTGTCTTATAAATATGCTTTGGTCAATTTAGGTGCACTGTTTAATTCATTCAAACATAATTATTTAGCTATTTTTCAGATATTATTCTAGGCAGTGGAGATTCAGCAGTAAATAAAAGACAAAATACTTGACCTTACATATCCCTCTTTTCAGGTGACAGGGAAATAGAAAAAAAAGATCACAGAACATATGAATTATTTTTATTTTGACAGCATATATGTAACTGTTCCTCTTAAGATCAGTGATAGACTGGGATTGTCTGCTGGTAAGGTATTTTTAGGTGTGCAGTTCATGGTATTTAGAACATGCTATGTTTTTTTCCTATTATGCTCATGTGTTTCATGCATGCTATTTGGCTGTTTATTTTGCCATGGGAAGAAAAGGTTATTGTTATAAAATGTTGTCTGTCTCATTATTGTATAAATTTAGATTCCAAATTGAGATATAAACTATGAAATAGATAACGTCAGTTTGATCCTCTAGTGTATATTCTAGAGAAAAACCTTTGTGAAAATATAACCAGGTACTTGTGGAATGATAAACGAGGAATTCTTTAGATTAGGCTTTATGTGTTCTTTGATTCTATAGTCTCCTTTGAGTAGTCTTTTACAAACAGTTTTGCGAGACAGTAGAATATTATTTCGTGTAGTTGACAGCTGAGGGCATTATACTCAGAGACCTTAATGGCATTGTCAGGATGGGAGATGAGAGCCTCAGGGATGACAGATACCACTTCCTTCACTGAAGTGTGTTATGTCTTGGTTAGTAGAGTTCAGGAAGATGGCACTGGTGTTTCCCTGCATGGATGGTGTCCACTGTCTGGAGTATGTGATTTGTTCTTTTTGAAAGAGGAGAACGACAAAATAATTCTTCCTATTAGTTTGATATTGGCTGGGCTGAAAGCAAGGAGAGTACAGTTGAATGCCTATTGTAGATGCATAGAACTATGTAAATTAGTTCCCCAACATCTGCTGATGCACCCATTGTGAATTACTTCTCATTGGCTCCATACTTGCTCTCCTTCCTGATCCCCCATCCCCAATTATTGTCATTTCATTTTAGGTGTATGTTTTCCTTATCTTTTACCCTTAAATTCCTGAAGCGATTGTATCCTTTCTCTTTGCTAAACATTTTTGCTAGACTTGTGAAGTTGTAAGCTTATAAACTCTAAAAATTCTTCTTGGCTTCTTTCTCTTGTTCTAGGAGTAACTGTGTAAAATGCCCAATTTTTGTTAGAAGTGAATGTCAGTTCTTCCTAGATTTATTTCTTACTGGAACAGAATCAAAGCCAAAAGGAAACTGCAGCAGAGGAAAAAAATGATCCCCATTTAGCTATTAAAATAATGACAAGTGTTATGGGAATTTTTATGTGAAACTTGGAAAAATAAATTTGTTTGATTGTTCTGTTTTTATGGCATCAAAATATGATGCACCAACAGAAAAACTGATTAAGAAATTTCTTACTCTTGCCATTGAAATTTTTCAGGCTGCTACCCTTGTCCCGGGCCCAACATGAATCCTATTGCTCTTGGCAGCCGCTGGCTTGCTTATGCAGAAAACAAGGTAAGGCAAGGAAGGGCCCGTGTTGGAATATTTGTAATGGAGCGACCCATAATGAATGTTGAACTTACTCATTGGTTTTCTTGTTTCAGTTTTGTTTTAATAGGGCACCCAATAGCTGTCCTGTCTTTCTTATTACTTAGTGTGCATCTAAATCTAAACAAGTGTTCTGTGGTCCTCTTGCCTTTTTTTTTTTTTTTTTTGTGGTCCTCTTGTCTTAATTAAGCCACAGGTGCATACATTCTGTTGATTTCTTTCAGTTAAATCGGTTTCACTTAGCCACTAAGGCCATCGTACTAAATGAAGATACATTTATATGCTGAAATTTTTACTTATGTTTTTAACTCAAAGCAAAAGACATAATCTTTTTTATGCCGTTTAGTGCCCTGCATGCACATGTAAAATGAAATCTAAAAGCTACTCCAGAATTCAAAGAAGATGATACTTTTTTGTTTCATTTTTGTTTGTTTTTATGGTTATTGGCATATTGAGAATAATATGAAATAGTATCTACTGAAGAGTTCTTGACTCTCTAGCCTCTGGAATTCACCAAATCAAGACACTACTGAAGAAAGGTACTTATCTAGATGAGTTCATTGATGCTTTCCCCCAAATTATGTCTGCTATGTACAGATATTTTGCATCACACTGATAAATACTGCTGTATTTATACTCTGTCATGTTCTTTCTCTTGATATCTCATAAAAATAGTTCTTTTCAAGTTAATTCTTTTCAAGCAAGGCTAGAGATGTGCAATCCAGTATGCTGACATAATAGTACCTTCTAAAGTTTACTTCTGTAATAAATTCCCTAGAGTGCTGGAGACATCCAAGAGAAAAAGAAAGAAATTGCCCCTTGGCTCTTGTAGATGTATTGTCACACGTGGAAGACTATACATTTAGAAGTATAGGTATTATGCCAGTAGTTACATATTGTTTTCAAACAGAAAGAACTTCCTTCTTAGATGCATAGCGTGAATGTGTGCTTTTATAGAGATATGTGTCAATAATATCTAGTGTTACATACAAAGACTAGAAAGCGTAGTGGCATTCACAAGGAGTTTCCTAATCCGATGGTCATACCATCCTTTGGAAGAAATAGTTCCAGAGAAACATTTTTGTGTGGCATTTACATAAGGGGTAGTATTTTTTAACAGTTTCTGATTGTTGTAGCATTTGGGCTGAGTGTGGAACTGCAAAATTGATTTAAATTTTTCAGCAACAATCTCTTTCAGTGGAAGTTTTCTTTGACTAAAATTTTAAGCAAGAGACCATGTATCTAGATTGGAATTGTTTTTCATTACCTCTTTTAAAATAACTGTTAACCTGGAAGACTTATGGAAAGTTTACAAGAATAAATATGGTACAAATAGCCTAAAGTATACTCATGTACTCTTTACTCAGATTGACCTCTGAATTATTTCAGGTTTGCACATATCACATTATTCCAAAATACTTAGATTATCAGCCAGTTTAATATTAATAAATTACTTTTATGTATTGTACCATGCATATTCCAGTTTAGTCAATTAACTCTACTATGTCATTTATAGAAATTTTTTTCCTGTAGTGCAGTGTCCACTCTACAATCTGGTATTATATTTTTTAGGAATGTCCCTTTCATTTTTCATCTTTTACAAGATGGATAATTTTGAAGACCACAACCCTCTGCTTCTACCCACTATTCTATTTTTCTTTATTGGAAGGATTTTTATTTTGAGGTTTGTTTTTGAAGTTCTCTCTTAATTATATTCAGGTTCTGTATTTCTGGCTGGAATCCTATGTGAGCGTTGTTCTGTACTTCGCACGGCATCACATCTGGACGTGCATGATATACATCTGTCCTTTATTGATGATGCTAATTTTGTCAAGGTCTTGTCCAGTTTCTGTAGTGAGTAATCACTGTTTTCCCCCCTTGTAACTAACAAATAATGTAGAAAGACCATTCTTATATCCTGCTTTTCATCAAGATCTTAGCCTAATTTTAGCATCCATTGTTGATTCTTGCCTGAACCAGTCTTTACTATGAAGATGGCAGATGAATGATTTTCCACTTTCACTCTCCATATTTACCAGAAGGCATTTGGCTTTCTATCTTTTTAACTTTCCCTTCTTTTCTATCTTTCTGTGTCTACATTTTCAAAATAGACTCATGGATTCTTGTTATTTCAGTGGCTTTTAATACTTGTGCACCTGTATATACACATAGACACAAACATTTTGGGAGTGAAGAGTTCATATTTTGTCCCCTATTTCCTATATATATGTCCTTTGTTTTAATAGGAGACCATAACATCAGCCAGTAATATTTTCCTCATTTCTTCAATCCTGTAATATAAAAAAATTACAGAATTCCTTGCTCATACCACTACAAAAGTCAAACCAACTAAAATGATAAAAAGACTTCAGGATTTTCTTTTCCTTTGACTTTCATTACTGCCTAAAACCCAAGGTATGCAATCAGATACTGTATTTATAGGTTATTTTGGTTAGTTTGGCGTTTATCCCTCCTTTTCTACCTTCCTTCATTATTGTTACAGTTTTCATTTACTACGTAATTGGGGACATTTGTTTTTATTTTTGTTTTATTTATATGCTGATGTACTTTATCATGTATTTTATATCTGTTTGCTTATTTGTTTGTTTTTTGTTTATTTATTTATATTTCCCTTTCTTTCCCAAAAGATAACAGTGTGTGTGTGTGTGTGTGTGTGTATGCGTATAGTGTTTTGTACATTGCTTTTTTCACTTATCAATATTTCCTGGAATTTGGGCCATTTGATAGTTTTAAACTACAAAAATTTCTAATTTATCTTTTTTTTTTTGTTTGTTTTTTGATGTCCTGAGATGCAGATATAATTTCCTAATGAGTTTAAACTAATTGCTGGCTTAGTTATATTTATGTAGACATGCTGACTCAGTTTTAGTTGACTTGAAAAGGTGACAGTATTGCTTGTTTTCACATATTTATTCTTGATTATTTTAATTATCTGAGGCAAGGACAAGATGATTGTATTTCCAAGACAATGTCTTTCCTTGCATTTGCTGCAGGAGGCAGCAGAAGGATAATTTTCTTAGTTGTTTGAATGTGTCTTTGTGAATGAATAAATGAGTGAGTGGGTGGGTGAGTGAGTGAATGAGTGAGAGAGATTCTTTTCATTAGCTAAAATGATCACTTTTCAAACTCCGTCCCTGTTTTCGCCTCTGTGAAACTGCATTTGCCAGTCACCTGTGATTTGGAGAATTCCTCACCACTGACCTTGAATTTTACTTAAGCAACCATTCAGTGAGGCAGCTTAACGTCTCATGTCAGAGTTTTAAAGATATTCTGTTATAAATATTATTATTGTCTTAAGGGATTTTTTAAAATATAAAATCAGTGATGGAGAAAATTTTAATTTTAAAATAAAAGAACAAATGGTTTCTTTATATAATTTAAAACTAGGTTTAAATTATATAAAGCATTTTTAAATTTTGAATTATATTAAGCATTTTTTGTTATATTTTGGGAGAGAAAGACTGAATTCTATAGGCTTTTAATAATTTATATCATAATTTGGAGTTCTAATAGTCTACTACTACTATTATTATATTACTATTATTAAAAACTTAAAAAATCTGATTTTTTTTTCTTTTCTCTCCTTTTTTAAAAACTAAATTTAGGAAGTGTAGGAGCCATGGAGAATTTAGTTCTGGTTTATTTCTCAGCGCATGAGAGAATCATGCATGTCAAACTAGTGATTCACTTTGAAAATTGGCAGGTTGATTTATTTATGTCAGACATGAATAAGGGCATGTCTTTTTCATACTAATGGTAAAACCAGTAAGCCCTCTGAAGTGGACAGCTACTATATGTGTCAGAATTGATTTATGCATAATTTGTGCCACTTTCCCACAAGCACAATTGAAAATGGAAATATGGCAAATTCATTTGTCTATTTTTTAAAGTTTCCTTTTTCAATCTTTTTGTAGGAATTAAGAGGACAAAACTTCCAATTTGCTAGCATGTTAAATATTTAATGTTAGGAAGTCAGTCTTAGTCCCTTGATTATGTTTCTAAAATTTATTTGTGGAAAGTCTGCCAGGTCTCAAATCCTTCCATTTCAGAGTTTATAAATTCTTAAAGACTATTCATCTTGTAATTAAAAATCGTATTTGAGCATGAAACTGCCAGAGCGGCACCAGCAGGCTATAAAAAGGGGTAAAAGTGTCTCAGCAGGGCTTTTAGCTGTTTGTCTGAAAAACACTCATGCAAACATTCCCACCCTGTACCATCATTCTGCACGGTAAATAAGCTCCAGCCTAAGAGCCTGTAGAGTTAAACAGTTTAATAGAAATGGCTTTCTGGTCTCTCTCTCTCTCTCTTTCCAGTTGATTCGGTGTCATCAGTCCCGTGGTGGAGCCTGTGGAGACAACATTCAGTCTTATACTGCCACGGTCATTAGTGCTGCTAAAGTGAGTACCCAATTGTCTCCGGGAGTTGTGATTATGCTAAGTAAACGATCCTGATTCTCTCCCGAAGTGTATTGAGATTGTCCCTTCCCTTTTCATTCACAAATGTCGAATGGGCTTAAGAAATAACTCAGAATTATTTTATCAAGTGAAGAGAATTCATGACCAAATGATTATGTATTTTATCTCTTAAGGTTCCTAAATAATGCTTTGTTGTTATTAATGATTATAGGGTTTGTATATATCAAGTTTAAAATATTGAAGTTGGCTATGTAGATCAAAGCCTGTAATCTAATTGATACCACTTTGGAAAGAAGCTTTACTTACATGTTTTAAGTAGTTACTTCTGGCTTCCTTTTTGGTGCATCATTGTACCTATACTGACATCCTTTTGCATCCTTGAACATTTATGAATCTTCTTGACATAAAAAGAATATTATTCCTTAGGAAAACTTGAGTGAGACCCCTGGCACATTCAAAGATCCTTTCATGACACAGAGCTGCCCCCTGTGTGTTTGTCAAGTGAGTTCTTTTTTGTGTACACGCGAGGGTTAATTTTGATGATGGCTCGTAAACTTTATGCTGATTAAAAGGTATTCATATAATCACCAGCCTTTTGAATTGTGAAGTATACAACAAAACAATTCCTGTAATAGGGATGACATAGTGAATCTAAATGACAGCATGTAATAGAAAGCACAACTGTTCAGAACAGAACAGCAGTTTAAAGCAAACCACAGGGAGGGAATCAAAGGTCACACTGTTTTATGTAAAACAAACACAGAAATACTTAAAGATTGATCACAAATGCTTGCACAGTATGGTCCGATGAGAGAAGCATTACGTATTTTTGACTCGGAGGGAAATATTGAATGGCTTTATGCTTGCTTATAGCACCCTATACTTTAGATTTCTGAATCTTTATAAAAATTGCTTGCTTTGTTCCCACTGTGTATGACAAAATTGTGATGGTTATTTCAGTGAAGAGAAATCCAAGACAGAATTATCAGGCAGCATCAGTGTTATTCAGTTAGTTTGCAACAGACCCACAAAACGTGCCAGTGAGATTGCACATTAGATTCCTTTCCGACTTGTCTGTGGCACACACTTTCTTCAGGGTAGCTTATGGTATTTTCATTCTGAATAATTTTTAGTTATGAGACAGAGGATAACTTTTCAGCTCTCGTTTGCTATAATTATGTGTTTTTTTATGCCTACGTAAAAGAAAAGTGACCTGCCTCATTCAGTAACTGTTTAGCTGTTAGCTGAAAGTAGACTTGATAAAGTGAGGCTAGACTTAATATCCTTTGAAAAGAACAAGTCCAAACTCCCCACTTTTCTACATGGCAGTATTGTGAACTGGGAAGAATTCTTCTGCATTTAAACTCTGAAGAAATTACGTTGATGATAACACCTTACTCCAGTTAATTTCCCACAGGCTGCTGGTCTCCAATGGAATTGGCGTTGATTGCAGTCCACTGTTAGCTCTTGGATGTGAAACGAAGATCATTCTACAACTGACAAGATTTTAGGAAAATAATTTGGCTGTATTTGCAAAGAAATCTCAAGCTATTCGTGGTTTTTAACTCAAGAGTCCATAAGTACAAAGAAAATGATTACATAAATATAAGAAAAACATTACAATGACAGTATTACACTCTTCTGTAGAATAAAAATGTATGTCTAATAAAAGAATATATCTAATCTTATAGATAAGACAATATATAAGATTCTGACATTAACTCTGGAATAAATTGATTAATGTTTAATTTTTTATTTAAGTGCTTTTGTCTGATTTTAATGCTTACTCATGTTCTTGCCTATAAATTTATAAAGTGAAGGAAAAATATAACCGTGAATGCAAAAGTTTCCCATTTCTCATTAGTTTTAGTAAGTTCAGTCATATATTGTACCCTGGTCTTTTAACTCATTTAACTTAAATATTATGAAATATTTTTGAAAATATTTTCCTTATACATTTATGTAATCATTTTCTTTGTACTTATGGACTCTTAAGTTAAAAACTGTGAATATCTTGAGATTTCTTTGCAAATACTGCCAAATTATTTTCCTAAAATCTTGTCAGTTCTAGAATGATCTTCATTTCACATCCAAGGTATGGATATTTTACATAGGGAATATTTGAAAGTTGGGATGGTTTCCCCTTCAAATATAATTTCTCCTAGTAAGTTATTGGATGTCAGAAACTTTCTGGGTAAATTAACCTTCTGAAGTATTAGCAGTTCCATGGTAAGGGCATGAAAATGTAATTAAGTAGTATAATTATAAATATATTCTTTTTTTTTTTACTATTACATTATGGGTTATACTCATATTTGTTTGTTCACTTGTGAAAATCTATCATGATGTACACTTACGATTCCTATCCTTTGCTGTATAAATGAGTAAAAAACTTAACCAAGGAAAGAAAAATCTCACAAAGATAACTTCAGATCTGGAAACCTTCTGCAGAGAATTCTGTCTAACGCTTAGAAATAAACAATAACATAAACAACACGAATTTACTGTATAGCTCAGGGAGCTATATTCAGTATCTTATGATAACCTACAATGAAAAAGAATTTGAAAAAAATATATAACTGAATCACTTTGCTGTACACCTGAAACCAGCACAATATTGTAAATCAATTATATGTCAATTAAAAAAGAGAATAAACAATGACAATATTACACTCTTCTGTAGAATAAAAAGGTATGTCTAATAAAAGAATATATCTAATCTTATTTTATGATGCAAGATTACTTTGAAATTGAAAACTTGACAAGAGTGTTATGAAAAAGGAAAGCTACAGACCTGTCTTTCTCATGAACACAGATTTGAAAAATTCTAAACAAAATTCTAGTGGAAAAAAATTAATATACACAGAGGGGTAATATGTATTGGGATAACTCTGCATTTTAAGGCTGGTTTCTTACTCAAAGTCAGTGAGTGTAATTTGCCACAAGAACAGAATAGAGGAGAAAATGATGTAATTATGTCAATACATGTACTGAAAGCATTTGATAAAATCAAACACACATGCATCGTTAAAACATTTTAAATAGTGATAGCTTCAGGTTCTCTAGAATTCCATTTTTCTCAAATTACCAAACTATTTAAACACAGTAAGCATGGCCATTATAATCTGTTTCTGATCACTCCAATATTTTGATTTCTTTTGGATATATTTTTGTTGTTTGGTGTTTCTGTTAATTCTCATTTATGATGTCTTGGCTCCTTGTTTGCCAGAATTGATTTTAAAAAATCTTTAGAAACATCTTCAAGTTTGGATGATACCAGAGTTCTGTGACAGTCTCAGGCTTGGATGATCTTAATCCAATTTCAGGTATTGAGATTACTTAAATTATTTAAATAAAGGTCACCTGAAATAGCTGTGAGAGCCTGATTTCTACAGGTTATTTCTATTGTGTGTCCCTTTATGTTCCAAACCAAACCATAGAGGGAAAGTCACCAGGTAGACCCCCATGAACACGACCACCTAGTTCCACAAGTGAATAGAGCACCACTCAATCTCTTAGAAAGTCCCCTCTAGAATGTGTAAATGCATTTAGGCCTAGATACCAGCTAAATCCACATGTCTGTATCTCCCTGTTCTCTTGGAATTGGACCTAGTAACTCATCACTATCTTGTTAAATATTCAGTGCCTTAAGAGAGGAAAAAGCAAATTCTCCCCAGTTTTCCTACTTGTTTTCATTGGTAGAACTGATCTGATTTACCTAGCCTGTCATTACTGAAAATAGAAAATAAAATATCTCATCATTTCTTAGCATTTCAGTCATTTCTAGGTAATAAGATATTTTTTTGAGATATAACATAGAAAATGTCTTAAAAGCCAGTATAGTACTTGATCCTTAAGAAAATATTAAATCATGGCCTTTAATAGAGTAGTCAGTAATATTTTTTTCTCTATGATGACAGCTTCTATGTGGCTTAATAGAGGTTAACCACTTTCTTATATAGAAGGATTATTTATTAAATTAAGTTTTTTATGTCTCATTCAGTTGTAAATATAAATATATTAATTGTATATGTGCTTGGATCTCCTTAGAGGAAATAATTTTTTAAAACATGTTCTGAATTTTCAAATAGCACTTAAATACTCATTTTTCTACTTAAAATTTTTTATTTTTGATTTTCCAAATAATTCATTTGGCTTTCCTTATAAATAATATAATAAAGATGAATTCTCTGTGGTAGTGTTGAAGGAAAAAATTTAATATTGAAATTGTTCAAATTGGATTATTTTGAAACATTTATTAAATCATTGGTCTGTATTTTCTAGTTACCCTGTAACTGTCCTATTTGATTTTTCCTTTTAATGGGTTTTAACCCCTGTGTGATAAATTGATTTAATAAAAATGCCTGTTTTCTCTTGTTATCTGATAACTTCTTAATGACAACTAACAGCTTTTTTGAGAGAGCAGCACCATTAGTACTAATGGATAGGGAGGACACTGATATGGCAGGAGAAAGGCTAAAGATAACTAGTGACCCTGTGGCAAATCTGTCTGCAACAGAGCAGAATAAGGACCATGCTCATTTGAATTTTTCATCCTAGTAGATTATCTGACACTTATGTTACAGTCTTATGTCCAGCACTTTTACAAGTACAGTTTAGTTCTGTGAATATTCTTGTAAAGGTTATTTGAGAGTATAAAGAACTTTTTAACAATTTAGATACTTCAGATTGTGAGGACATTCAGTTCAATCACATAGCCATTTGGCCAAATTGGATTTTTTCCCTAATTTTTGTTAAGCCTTCATCATTTTTTGTATGTGTTTGAGGAAATCATCAGGTATGTACATAGCCTTTCCATTAAAATCTACTGAAAAGACTAATTACTGTGAGGTGATTTAGGTATGTAAATATGGTTATTGAAAACTGTTAAATAATAACATATTATATATTTCTTCTGGTCACCAGTGCTCAGTGATGTATTTGATTGTAATATGGAGACAAATTTCCCATAGAATCAAATGTCTTCACAAATGTAGAAAACTTCCAACATCCCCTCTCACACCCTGCATTAGATCTCACTGGAAAGTTAATGAGCTCTGATAGACAGTAATGTCTTGTCACTTACCATACATAGTATACATCTGATGACTGTTAAAATATGAGTTTAGATTTGTGTCCACTAATAAGATGATCCCACCAAGTATTCATAAGGTTGTTTTTTTTATGTGTGTGTGTGTATGAGAAATATCATTAAGTCTTCCTGTAATATGAATCTTTGACAATGAAATACACTACTCTGTCTTTCTCCTCTTTCTGGAGTTTTTTCCTTGTTCTCTTATATTAACTTTCCCCTTCATCTTGTGGTTTGCTCTGGTACATTACTTCCCACTTTCTGTGTGCTCCAGTTATTTCAGTTTTATTCCTATTCATTGGTATAAGAGCATGAAATAATAGGCTCAAGGGCAAATAGGGAGGATATACAACCAAAGACTTTAAACCTGAAAGGCATTCCTTTGATAAAGGGATCGCTCCGTTTAAGTGGGAGCATCTCCATTAGCATTAATGGAGCTGGTACATCAGCGGAGGCATCTCAGAGGTTAATCAGGCTTCCTGGCCAGCTTTTGACATCAATACACTGTGGCGCCTGATTTTGTTGGTCCTTCAGAGGCTTTCTTGACAACACTCTAACAGACTTTGTGTAAGTCATTTCTTGTGAATTATTGAAACAAATGTTTGGCTGCTAATTGAGGAACACTAATGTGTTTTATAATCACTGCAGTTTGGGTTTTTAGCACTAAACAAAACAGTAACAATTGATTTGTGGCTTTTTCTTGGTTTCAGTCCACTGTAAGTTATATCATTTTGCTTGAATTCAGCAAGTGACTTTGTTGGTCATTTTATTTAAGTATTTATTAGGACACACTATTGTGGTCTTCATTTTCCCTTTTTTCCTTCCCAGTGTATGTTTGTGTTCTGAAATCATGAAGCAGTAACAGGAATAGATTACAAGGCAATACTGGGTAGCAGTTAAAATCAGGCTTTGGAGATAGACTGTCCTAGTTTCGAATTCTGGCTTTGTCATTGGCCAGCTGTTTGAGCTGCCATTTTGCTTAACTTTACTGCAGCCTCAATTTTATTTTCTATAATTCTGAGGTATTTAAGGAAATCTATACAGGTCATATATGTTAAAGAGCCTTGACCAATCCCAAGTTCATAAGAAAGGTTCCATGTAACATGGCCATACAGTAAAATAATATATTACTACTGTTAGTTATATGGCATTTTAATAGATAGTTTCTTTGGAAATATGTTTCCTTTTTAAAATTTCAATCTGACTATTGCTTAAATCACATTTAGGCCTTTGTAAACAACCTTTTTTGCTTACCATTTATAAATTAATATTTGAAATGCTGTTTATGTAATAATTTACACTTTTAAATTTACCTATAGCATATGCCAGAATATTGGTGAACATATTTTCCCATTATTATTTTTAAAAGCAAGTGACTTTATTGAAGATTAATTTGAAGTATTTTAATAAGAACTTTTCCTCACAATGTAAGAATTAGAAAAAATTATTTCTGAATGTGTGTCTAATATAGATAATTTTTGAAATGTCCATGTAATCTGGATGACTTATTCTGGCGCCAGTGATTAGATCTTCTATGAATCACATAAACATTGTTTTAGCTTTCTTCCCTTCAGACAAAAAAAGAAAAAAACCTGATACTTAACATTATTGTTTGTTAATGCGTATGAAAGTAATCAGATGATGAAATTCATATAAAAGAAAAAATACACATGAATTATTAGTTTTATCTATTTATTTAAATGAAGTGGAACCGAAATGTTATAAAACATCTTAAGTTGTATTTTTATTTTTTTTAGAGGGGTAGTAATTAGGTTTGTTTGTTTGATTGTTTGTTTGTTTATTTATTTTTTAGTGGAGGTACTGGGGATTGAACCCATGACCTCCTGCATGCTAAGTATGCACTCCACTGTTAAGCCATAACCTCCCCCTTATCTTTAATTAAATTGTTTTCTGTTACCAGAGAGCTAGTTTTGTATGATACTTCATTCATCCAGTGATAAGTAGCTTAGATGGAGACTGTATTTTCTATATGCCAAATCTAGATGTAGAATATTATGTAACATCATATTGTATATTTAATTTGGAAGCAAATTATTTCCCGCAGAGGGATTCTACCAATGCCTCAGTCTTTTTCATGCTAAAAAGTAGACTTATAAAAAATAGTTTTAAAATATTAAAAAAAGAACAGCAAATAGTTTCTACTTTTTACTCTGTCACGTGTTTTAAGTTATGTGCATTGAGGAGAGGGGGCAAAAATAAATATTTCTTATGAAATATCCTTATGTGAAACAAAGCTCTTTTGTTATTTATCTATGGCTTTATTCTCACCTTTGTAGCTTTATTCCTAACACCGATTTTCTAAATTTGCTGACTTTGTAGACTCTAGTGATATCAAACTAACACCGATTTTCTAACTTTAAGATCATATGAAAAGTCATACTGATTTTTCATGACGATGCACCGCTACATAGAAGCTTGTTAAGAGAATAAAGAATTTAATACATATGAGAGTTAACAACGTGCGTATTTCCATTTAGATTCCAAATGCTGATGTGAAGTCATACATTTTTACCTTTCATTGTATAGACATTGAAAACTGGCCTGACAATGGTTGGGAAAGTGGTGACTCAGCTGACAGGCACACTCCCTTCAGGTGTGACAGAAGACGATGTTGCCATTCATAGTAATTCAAGACGGAGTCCCCTGGTCCCAGGAATCATCACTGTAATCGACACTGAAACAGTTGGAGAGGGCCAGGTAAGAACTTCTGATGCCTGTAATGTTCATTTTCTGCAGAGGATGGGCTGGCTAAGAATGTCCTTTGGGATCAAGATCAGACAAAATGTGTTTGGCCTTGGAGATTGTTAATTTGGAATTCTGGAAACTGAGGTTATTTCAGGCTAGAATTTTTTTCCAAAAAATGATGAGTAACACTCTAAAACTTATTATTTCAAGCATAGTTAATGTATCCAACCTGAAGGTAAAATTGAGGTTTTAAGGAATTCATCAGGACATTTGTTTCATAAATATGTAATCTCTTTATACTGTTCTGTCCATAATGTTTCTCTTTTTTTAAATGACACTTGTCATAAACTAAATCAGATTAATTATGACTAGTTATGATATTTATAAGTGCAAGTGTCTTTATTACACATACTTCCTTATATATGAATAAATACACAAAATCTCAAAACATATAGTGGAATACATAAATGGTAACAGCTTATTATAGAATCATATATCTTCAGATAAAGTGTATTTTTACAGGGTTCAGAAATACTTGGGAGTAATTATAAACATGGAAAAATATGCTATGCTTGTGTAAATCTTACTGGTAAGAAGCTAATTGGATTTTGTTTTCCTCCCCCATGCGCCCACTCCAAAGTATTTTTTTTTAATCATAGTCTAGACTTTAAAAATACATTTCTGAAAGGAAGGCTATTGTAATAGTTTGTGATCATTGCTATAAATATGCAGTCTAAAATTTATTGCTAGAATAAGATAGTAGAGCAACATTTGTGAAATAGTAATATATATATTGTGTATTTATAACTAGAAAAATAGAATATAAGATATATATATATATTATATTTATATAGAATTTATATTCTGATTTAATTCTGTTTTCAGAACATAACTGTGTGAGCCTTTAAAACATTAACCCTAAATATTGTGTGTTCTTTTGAGGAAATCTGCTTCCAGTATATATGGTTGTACTTTTGATGAAAGATTGTGCTTGGCTGGTACTCATATACCAGTTCCTATAGTAAGATTAAGTGGCATTTCAAAAAAATATGGACTGTGCTACAGTTAAAAGAGAAAAATTCTTTTGTTATTGAATCTGGCTGTTGTATTTTATGTAAAATCTGAATAATATAATTCTCCACCTTTCCCATCTTAACTTTGTGGTTAACCAAATATGTTACAGGCTTGTATTCTAGTTTAAAACTCTTTTTAATGAAGTGCTAGCAAACTTTTCAGTTGACTGTAATGACTTTTTTTTTAAAAAAAGTTGTGTTAATTAGCTCAAGTTGATAGACACATACAAATGTTCTCTTTTTAAATTGGAATTAAATATATAAACCCTCAGTGTTTTATGAGTGTTAAAGTAAAAACTATTTTCTTTTGTCCTTTGATTCTTAATTAATTCACCTCTAAGGCCACCCACATTTACTGAGTAGTTAACAACCCTTCTCAACATTGTCTAGTTTGGTGAGTATGAGTGAGTCTGTTAAATATCGAGCATTTGGTGACAGACAGATTTGTGGTCATTTAAAAGCAGAAAATTTATCTCATCTTATTTTTGATAAAATAGCAGTAGAACTCATTATTTTATTACATGTAAGTACAGGAACATGTAAGAAGAAAGATTTAAAATAATTTATATGAAAAGCGTAGTGTGAGTCTTTGCGTTTTCAAGTGCAGTTTGTTTTGGATTTTTTTTTTCGCCAGTCCTTTATTAACTTTTTATAACTTTAAAGTGGAATTCTCACACTCGGAATATGGAAATGGACTGTAGATTCTAGTTGCAAACTTCATTTTTCTGGGACAAATGCATTGTTTACACTGAAAAGAAGTAAAATTGTTTATTAGGAAATAAGAGTCATAGAAATGTTAGCTTTTAAAAGTTAAAAAAAGTTAAAAAGTATTGCTCAGCCAGAACATTTTTATCTTTTTCATTATTTGTATTGGGAGCATAATCTCTTTTCATTCCTACTTATAATATTTTCTGAAATTTTAACTTGATTTAAAAAATCTAAGTCAGGAAATAAAGTGATAGTCAATAAATGAGAAGTTGCTATGCACATTTTTAAAGAATTATAAATATTTTTTTAAAGGAACAAGATTTCTTCAGTGTGATACTGTCCTCCTTTCTTTTGTTAACGTGAATCTGTTTTTTGTCAAGAAGACATTTTTGTCTGTGATAAATAGTTCAGTTGGAGTACAGAGCTGTTTTTAGGCTATGCTGGATTGTATTAAAAAGACTGCAGTGGTTAATGTCATAGATTTATCACTTTTAGCCCTTTCCCACTGATGTTTGACCTTAGCTGTAATGTTTTTTTCTTTTCCATCTACATCTCAGGAGCTCACACTGTTCATTTTAGCTTTTTAAATCCATTGAGCCTTTAATAAAGATATTTTCATGTTTACAGTGATAGTGTATAAAATTTGACTCACTGTCTTTCTGATGCTAAATTGATTAGTTTGATTTGATGGTGACAGGATCGCTGTGTGGTAACTGCATTAAAAGGGAATGGATTTGATTGACTTCGTCCATTTTTATCTGTGTCACTTTCATGTTTTATTTAAAAGCATTTTGTGGCTAGGATAAGTTAAGTGGTATAATTTGCCTTTACACATTTGTGTAATTGAAGTTAGCAAGGCAGCAAAGTCTCTAATCAAAGAAAAACGGTCCAGATCGTGATGACATAAACTTGAGCTATTTCTTTCCCTGAGTGCAGCTGTATACAAGTGTTATTCGTAATAATTTAATGGTTCTTGAGGTGTTTTGTCTATCTTTTTGTTCATATGATAAAGGCCTGTTCATTTTGTATCAATTAAAGTGCTTTGCTTTGTTTTAATAAAGTCAGGACAGTTACAACATATACTTAGGAGTTGAGCCTGTTAAGCAGTGAGTAAAAATTACATGTCTTAGGGCAACTGAATTGGGATGTCTCTGGTATTATTGATTTGATGTTGAGGAAAGGGGATGATACAATGGAGGGAATCCTTACAAAAGTATCTGGTTGTTATGTTGGTGAACCTCATAAAGAGAAGATTCAAAGAATCCCATATAGTGGCATGAGGTTTTGCTGTGCACCAAGATTAATGAGCCTTTTTGCTGGATAGCTTCTGTACAAGTACCATCAAATAGAGTACTCAATACTAATTGTGTTGGAAAGAGAGATATAGGGTTATAATATATGGAAGGAAAGGGAATCTTATAAGATTGAGTTAAAATAGAAAACTGGGCAAAGGACAAATATTTCACAGAAAAATTAAAATATATCCAAATGGCATAAAATCTATAGACCTGACTTATTATTAAGAGAAAGACAAAATTATACCAAGATACCATTCGGTCACCTATCAGAATGAGGGAGATTAAAAAGCTTGGACTATACTCTACATTTTTAACTTTTAGTTTTGAAATAATTGTAGACTCACACTGAGTTGCACACCCATGTGCCCATCACCCAGTTTCCTCCAGATTCCCCCAAATGGTGACATCTGATATAGCTGTAGCAAAATATCAAAACCAGGATGTTGGTGGTGGCACATTCTCTTAAGTAGGCTACAGACCTTCTTCAGCTCCCGCCATTTGTGTTACCTGCATTCACTTATGTGTGTATGCGGAATATTGAAAGAATTCCTATAAATCAATAATAAATAGATAAATAGTCTTATTTTAAAATGAGCAAAGGATTTGAATAGACATCTTTCCGAAAATGATATGCCAATGGCCAGTAAGCAGAAATGAGAGCCCTCGTACACTGCTGGTGGGAATGTAAAATAGTGCAGTTTCACTTTGGGAAAGAAGTTATCCTATGACTTGGAAACTTATCTCCTCAAGATTTGCTCTTAGGTGATAAAACAGTCAAGAGAAATGGAAATATACGTTCATATAAAAACTTGTACATGAATGTTCATAGCAGCATTATTCATAATAGACAAAAAATAGAAGCAACCCAAATATGTATCAACTGATCAATGGATGTTTAAATAAAATGTGGCATATATATAGAATATATTATTATTTAGCAATAAAAAGAAATGGACTGATTCATGCTAGAAAATGGATGAACCTTCAAAATATTATGTATATTGAAAAAAGCCAATCACAAAAGAACACATACTGTATGAATCTATTTATATGAAATGTCCAGAATAGGCATATCTATAGAAAGAGAAAATAATTATGGGTTGCCTAGGGCAGGGAGTTTAGAGGGAATTGGGGAATGAGCGGTGACTGTTAATGGTTATGGAGTTTATTTTGGGTGATGAAAATGTTCTAAATTTGATGATTGTAATGGTCACTCAACTCTGTGAATGTACCATATATCCTAAAGCAAGTCCTTAGTATATTTAGCAAACTTGGTTGAATTCACTTTCTTGGAACCTGCTCCTGTGACTTCTTTTTCTTATTGTTCTCACCTAACGTTTTTGAAAGACAAATGGAACAGTGGAAAAGAGAGATTAGAGAAGTAATTTGTAATGCATATTTCCCCCTCAACTGTGGTAAAATGTAAAATGTACATAACATAAAATTTGCCATTTAGCCATTTTTAAGTTTACCATTCAGTGGCATTAAGTGTATTCACAATGTTGTACAACCGTCACTGCTGTCCCTGTCCAGAACTTTTCATCATCTGTACCCATTTAATAATAATTCCCCACCCCCCTGTCCCAATACTTCCTGGCAGCTACCATTCTGACCTCTGACATCTCCAAAAGATTGCCCGTAATTAAAAAGACATACAATACAAATTGTTGGAAAGGATGTGGAGAGACTGGAGATCTCATACTTGTGGACATATGAAAGTATCTGCCTTGGAAAATAATTTTCCTGCTTCTTCAAAAGGTCAGCGTACATTTACCATATGACTGAGCAAATCTACTTCTAGGTATCTCCTCGAGAAGTTTAAAAACATGTTCACAAAAAAAAAGATGTGTATGCAGATATTCATAACAGCATTGTGCATAATAGCAATCAATTTGACATTATTCAGATTGCCAAGAACTGATCAATGAACCCACATGATGTAGTATCTCCATACAGTGGAATACAAGTAAGCAACGTAAAGAAATGAATGATACCTGAAATAACATGGTTGAACCAAAAAAGTGAAAGAAATGGAAGATGAATCTCATGATTATACAAAAAATTTTGAAAAATTTTAGAAAAGGTGAAAGAAGGATTTCAGGGATTGCCTGTGATTTAGGGCTGGTGATCTACTGTGAACTCATTATGAAGAAATTTTAGGGGTGTTGGAAGTATTATAAATCTACAATGTGGTAATGATGACACTACTATATTAAGTACTATCCACTAATATTTAAAATGGTTGATTTGTTGGCATAAATTTAGTGATATTTGGAGAATGACTCCCACCTATGGTGAAATGAAAAAGCAATCAAATCCTTTCTCCAGAAAATAAGCACATTACTGGATAGGATTTTCAAAAATAACTACTTGGGCACACTGGAAATTGACCAAAAGCTAAGATGATGCTCTTATCCACATCTCCCTGGAGCTTGGTGAGTGTGATAGTTTTACCAGACCATTGTGAACAAAGCAGGTTCCCCTCTAGAGGAGGGGTTTGATTTGGAGTAGAAGATTAAAACTCAGGCCCAACAGTGTTTTCATTAAAAGTAGTAATCTTGGTAGTTGATAAATAGGGATAATAGGCAGTTCTGGTAGCCTGAGCTTGCAGTTCAATTTTGAAGAACAGAGAGGAAAAATTGATGAAATGTATGTTAGCTTTGGATTCTGCACATGTGACTTCTATTGTATTGAGGTAGTTTCCATAGTTTCCATCCATTCCTAGTTTACTGAGTGTTTTTATCATGAATGTTGTTGAACTTTGTCGAATGCTTTTTCTGCATTGGTTAATATGATCGTGTATTTTGTGCTTCAGTTTGTTAATGTGGTGTATGACATTAGTTGAGTTTTGTATGTTGAACCATCCCTACTTTCCAAGTATAAATCTCACTTTTCATGGTGTGTGATCCTTTCAATGTGTTGTTGAATTTGGTTTCCTCCTGTTTTGTTTTGGATTTTTGCATCATTATTTATCAGGGATATTGATTTATAGTTTTCCTTTTGACTTTCTCTTGTTTTGGTATGGCAATGAGGGCCTCAGAAATACAATCCATTTTATTTCTGTGACATCAGTGTAGTGGCTCCTCTTTCATGTCTAATTTTAGCTATTTGAATTTTCTCTCATTTTTTGTTGAGCATCTTTGCATATGCTTATTGAACATCTCTATATATTCTTTGGAGAAATGTTTATTAAAGTCCTATGCCCATTAATTGGATTTTTAAAAAATTACTGAGTCGTGGAAATTCCTTACTTATACTGTATGGTCTCCAAGAGAGATTTACACACCTGTGTTCATTGTAACATTATTCACAGTACTCAGAGGGTGGAAGCAATCTAAATGTCCATCTCTAGATGAATGGATAAAGAAAAAGGTGGTATATCCATAGAATGTAATAATATTACACAGCCTTAAAAAAGAAGGAAATCATATGTTACAATGTGGTTGAACCTTGAGGATGTTATGCTAAGGGAAATAAGCCAGTCACAGAAGTACAAATGCTAAATACTTTGTTTTATTTTGAATATCTAAAATAGTCAAAATCATAGAAACAGAAAGTAGACAGGTGGTTACCAAGGGTGGTAGGAGAGAGGAGGAAGAATTAGAGTTTAGTATGTATAGAGTTTTAGTTTTGCAAGATAAAAAAGTTCTAGAAACCTCTTACACAACAATGTTAATATACTTAATATTAATGTACTAAACTGAATACTTAAAAATCATTAAAATGGTAATTTAAAAAGATATACACACAAAAATTTTTGAAAAGTCTGTAGCTTGACTGAATTGCAGGTTTTAGCCAGAATAATAAGGCAAGAAAATGAAAGCATTAAGATAGGAAAGGATGACAAATCAGACATTTCTATATAATGGATTATTGTAAAGGTTATAGTACTGTATAAAATCATTAAATTGTAAACTTTTTAAAATAAAATAAGCAACTTTTATAACATGTAAATTGTACCTCTGTATAGCTTAAAAGAAAAATTAACATGGCTGTATAGGACTACTTCTTAGATTATTTCAAATTAAATTAATCATGTCAGAATATCATGATCCAGTATCCGTATAGTAGGTTTTCCCTTTCAAACATTAGATATGTGAAACTTTTTTGTTTCTTGAGTTAAAGTCTAGGAATCATTGAACAGTACAGTCACAAAGGGCACGTTGTAGGAAATGTAAATTATGTTTCAATATGCTTACAAGAAAATTAAGGGGAATAAATCTGAGATACAAAACTCCTTGTCTGATATATACTTCTGCTTGGTAATAGCATTTTCAAAGAAGTAATGTGTCCATCTAAAACCTAGGAGCTAAAGACCTCTACTATATGGCTGTTTGTGTTTAACTTGTTATGTTGTTTTTCCCTGTTTTGTTCCAATCATGGGCAAGAATTTTTCAGCAGGCCATGACACAATAAAAACTCTTAGATAAAGCTCTCCATAGCTGATTTTATGTTTTTCGTTTTTTTCTGAACCTACACTTCAAGAAATTATTGTCTCTGTCATTTACAGTCAAGCCACACAATCTGCTGGAGGCATATTACATGTTTTTCTTATTCCTGAAGTGGTATTCTCACTTTATATTGCCAAGAATAATCTTACTCTTGTATGAGGAAGCATGTTATTTGTTCAGGGATGTAGTGGTGTAGCTGTGTGTATCTTCAAGCTCAGTAATCGGTTAACTTACATTTGCCTTCTTTCTTTTTGAAAAGGTGCTCCTGAGCGAGGATTCTGACAGTGATGGTATTGTGGCCCACTTCCCTGCTCATGAAAAACCAGTGTGCTGTATGGCCTTTAATACAAGTGGTACGTCCCTCCCCGCCACCCCCACCTTTTATATTACTTGTTTTCCAACGAAGTTTTTTGAAATATATGTGTTAGTGTATATTAGAAAAATGAGTAGTCTTCAGTAAGTGGTTATTGAATGAGTGAATTTATAGTACAAGTTTAGAAACTCCTTTAAACATTAGTTCACTTCTGAATAAAATGGTAATTGAGTAGTTGCAGAAGGTGAATAGCAGTGGTAAACAGTGCTGTTGAGTTGTGTTAGTTTGGTGGGTTTTGTTTTTCTGATGTTCATAAGGCATTTGTAAAGGGGAGATTTTATAGCAGTGTGGAATGTCCATTTTTTTCTCCAGACTTTTTATTGTGAAAGTTTAAAACATAAAAATCGTAATGACCCATGTATGTCACCTTGATTAAACAGGTATTGACATTTTAATATAATGTGTGTGTGTGTATTTTGCTGAACCATTTGAATATAAATTACAAACGTGATATTTCACTTGCTGCAAAATAAGCATGCATTTTCTAAGAATAAGGACCTTTTAGTACATAATCAAATATATTATATTCAAAAAATTAACACATTATATTATTTAATATCCGAGACATAATTTAAAATTTCCCAGTTGTCTCAAAAATCGGTTCTCTAACTGCTTCAAATCAAGGTCTGATTAAAGTTCACTCTTTACATTTTGTTCTGTCTGTATAGTTCCTGTTAATCCAATGTGTAACTGTGACCTTCCCCTCATCTAAATGGGAGTGTCCAGACCAGTTATCTTGTCCAAATTCTGCTTTTGTCACACATTTTTTTCATTATGATAATGTTCTCTTTATTCCCTAAAGATGTTTTTAAATACATTCAGGCTGAGGAGTTTTTTTTTTTTGAAACTTCCTAAGTATTGCTGTCTACATCATTTCATCCCAGTAGGAGACACATTATATCAGGTTGTCTTGTAATTTATGACACTGTGTTTGATCACATGAATAATTTAGTGACCCGTCAAATGTCTACATATTGGAGGTAGATTGTCTTTTCAAGATTAGCAAGTAATCTGCAGAGTGTTATTTTGGCTTCATTTCTGAAACAACTTTATACTAAATAATTTTGTTACATTTGAAGGCTATAGAATTGGTGTTTTTTCTAATCCTGTCATGTCTTCTGCATTTATCAACTGCTGTTCTTCTATTAAAAAAATTTTTTCTCTCATCAACCAGAAATGAACCACAGTTCTCCTTTATGTAAAAGGCAGGATAAATGCACTATGTTGTCTCTTTAATTACCAATTTTCGTAGTTAGGAATTGGTTTAATATTTCTAGTGGTGGAATTTGCAAAATACTTTGCTTCTAAATAAAAGATAATATTGCTCTTTTCCTTTCAGAGCTGAAATAATCTTCATAGGTTTTACAGTCTTTTCAGCTCTATTCTTGGTTGATGGGTCTGAAGAGACTTCCATTTTTATATTATTCTGCAGAAGCAATCCTATTCGTTAAAACTGATGGAAAGACCTCTCTTTTCCCACTTCTTTTCATCTTTTCAGATGAAAAATGATGGTAAGAGGATAATACAGAGTATTTCAAATAATCTTCCTTATAATATCCTAATTAGTCATTTTTGACATAGATGAAGGTTTTGCAGTGATTGTTGATCGGTAAGATTGATTTAATTTATGAAGACAAAAATTTATTGAAATGCTCTGAATGTTGTGGAAATTAAGTTTAATTTGAAAAAACAGTCTGGAAGTTCTGTCGCTTACAGCACTCCCCTTGGAGGAACCAGCATGACTCAGTTTGATAGCCCATCTGTTATGTCAAATCTCCTTTGTTCTAGTGTATAGTTCATATTGCCGTAGAGTGCTTCAGACATTTGAAGCTGCATTTTTTCCTGTCTATGACTTTCCCTTGTAATAGGAACATCTTATAGAACTGAAAGAATATTGTGGTTCTCTCTATTATTGTCCAGTAGTAACTTCTAGAAAACAATAGATTTCTATGATTTCATTATTTTGATCTCTGTTTGCCATTTGATTCCTTTTTTTAATTGAAGTATGGTTGATTTGCAGTTAGTGTGCCATTTGATTTCTGTTTGAACTCTCAAATTTCTTTTTTATCGATAAGACTAAGATTTTAATTATTTATACCTACTTTTTGTTTTTCTAGAGCGTTAATTGTATATAACTCTATGATATAACTTATCTTGAAGCAGTAATTTCTTTACATGTTTGTTTTCCTAGTTAAATAACCTCTTTTCCATTTTACTGTGGGGTTCACTCTTGGTGTACATTCTCTGGCTTATGACAAATACATGACACGCATCCACCATTACAGTACTGTGCAGAAGAGTTTCACTGCTGTGAAAATCCCTTTTGCTCTGTCAATTCATTCAACTTCTCTCAGTACTTGACGATCACTGATTTTTTTTTAAAACTGCTTCCATAGTTTCAGAAGGTCATATGGTTGGAATCTTACAGTATGTAACCATTTCAGATTGGCGTTTTTCACTTACTAATATGTATTTAAGTTTCCCCTCCTTGTCTTTTCATGCCTTGATTTCTCATTTCTTTTTTCTGCTGATAATATTCTATTGTAGGAAGGTACCATAGTTTATTTTCCATTTTATATAATATTTGTTGAGGTGTCTATTCATATCTTTTGTCCATTTTAATTGGTTTGTTCATTTTTTTTATTTTTGAGTTTTAAGAGTTCTTTGTATATTTTGGATACCAGTCCTGTACTAGATATGTATTTTGTAAATATTTTCTTCCAGTCTGTGACTTGTCTTCTCATCCTTTTGAAATGGTTTTTGAAGATCAAATTATTTAATGTATGAAGTCTGACTTACTTCTTCCATGGATCTTTCCTTTTGTGTGTATGTAAATTGACATTCTTGTACTGCTGTATTCTTTTTTTTTAACTTTTTTTTCTTGAGTTATAATCATTTTACAATGTTGTGTCAAATTCCAGTGTAGAGCACAATTTTTCAGTTATACATTAACATACGTATATTCATTGTCATTTTTTTTCACTGTGAGCTACCACAAGATCTTGTATATATTTCCCTGTGCTATACAGTATACTCTTGTTTATCTGTTCTGCATATGCCTGTCAGTATCTACAAATTTTGAACTCACAGTCTGTCCCTTCCCACCCCTCTCCCCCTTGGCAACCACAAGTTTGTATTCTATGTCCATGAGTCTGTTTCTGTTTTGCTGTATTCTTAATTCAGTCTCATGCCAAATCTTGTAACTTCTTGGAGAGAGAATAATTTTATAAGAACTGTTTTATGAGTTTTAGAATTTCTTACATTTCTCCTTGAATCTAAAATAAGGCTTCTTAACAAGAGTCTGAGATCCGAGAGGTCCATGGATAAAATTCAGAGAGTATGTAAACTTAGAAAGGAAAAAAATTACATCTTAATTTTCTTTAATTTCTAATGAAAATTTCTTTCACTTATGATTATATACAATAAAACTGAAAGATTAGCTTGCGTGTGAATTTATGAGCAACAGAAATGATGGATAATTTCTTTTTTTCCTGATAATTTCTTATCATTTTGACATTACTTATATAATTCTCTAATAATGCTTATGGTTTAAAATGCTGGTAGAGCCTGTCTTTTAAGATAACACACACACATATTCTGCCATATATCAATTTTTATAATCCTAAGTATTTTATTTTTTTAAAAAAATATTATTCTGAAAAAGAGGTTCCTAGGCTTCACCATATTGCTAAAAAGGTTCATGACACCAAAATTTTTAAAAGCCCGTTTATGCTTAGTATGATTTCATCTGTTTCAACCAAACACGTTGGAGGCTAAACTCCATTCACATCTTTTGGCTCAGCCTTGGTGATGCAGTTAGTAACTGGCAGTCCCTACCCATGGAGCCTGCTGATGTGATAGGGACTTAAAAAAAAGAAGTAAGGACAGAGTGCTAGGAGATGAGTGTTAACTTGGTCTTTGACTTTTGGGGAAAGTTCTTCAAAAGGAAGTCAGTTCTAAGCTAGAATCAAAAGATAATTAGCAGAATATAACTTTTAGATCCTCCAGTAACAGCTCAGTTTTTATTTCCATGTGTCTATATGTATTTCAAAACTTATTTTATATCAACAAGTTTTAACTGACCCTCTAATAATTCTCTATTTGGTTAAAGGCTTTTTCACTGGGTATATAATGTGGCCAATAATAATGATAGTGCTTGTTGGAATACTTTTTATAAGTTTAGGGAGATTCACTTAAAAAAATAAGTGAAACAAATCATATAGGAAAAGTTGACTGCTTGTTTTTTGTTTTTAAACCCGATTTTCTTCCACCTAGTTTACTTGCATATATATTACCGTTAAATTTATTTTTAGAGAGGCATATTTTTAGATGACAGAATTAAAATGTCATGGACATCAAAATTCAAGAACAAACCAGGAATATTGTCCACCTCCTGAGGAATTTTAAAAACAACATAAAATGCACACGATGGAATAACACTGCAAAGTGAATGAAGGAGAAAATGTAGGTTGTTTGAGCAGCATGCAGTTCGGCTTTGTATGGGACCTATTCAAGGGAGAAATTAAGGGATGCCATTAAATAGAGTTGTGAAACTTGTAGTTTAGCAGCTGCATTCAGTTTGCTTTTCAATTTCTCATTCCCATTCTTGTTTATTGGCTGTGACTCTTGAGTCCCGAATTAAAACAAATATTTTAATGGCAACATTTATGATTTGGTTAGAAGTGCCAGAGAGGCCTCATGCTTAGATCTGGGCAGATTCAGTGTGGGTGGTGTAAGTTTGTTGCTTTCAATTATTTAGGTACACAATGAGAATTTTTTTAATTAATAGACTTTATTTTTTAGAGCAGTTTTAGGTCCACAGCAAAATTGGGTGGAAAGTACAGAGAACTTTTGTGTATCACCCCTACTCACCCACACACACCCACTCCCCTGTCACCCCTCCGCGCACCCCCAACCTCCCACAGTATCCACATTCCAAACCACAGTGATGATTTTCTTACAGTTGATGAGCCTATATTG